GTCCAGTACCTTTAACCAAGGACCCCACCAACGGCTAATGATTTAAAAAACCATGCCAGGACTAGCAATTGGCATAATGGCAAAAAAAAAAAAAAAAAAAAAAAACCTCTACAAAGAAAAGAAAAAATTAAACCCAGTGAGAGTTGTGGGAACTCCTATTTATAGTTGGTAGTCAAGCACAGGCAAAGCGATCTGGGGCTCACAGTTGGCCCTGGAAGTGGGGGCGGGGGCAGGCTAGCAGGACTGTACCCTTGACCTATGGGATCTGACGCCATCTCCATGCAGACAGTGTCTGAACTGAGTTTAAAATTAGAGGGCACCTGTTGAGGTCTGCTGCGGAATCTGGCTGGTTGCTTGGTGTGTGGGGAAACACCTCCCCAGGCTGCTGTCGTCAGTGTTGTGTTGATGGATGGGTGAGAATACAAAGCCACTTGGTTTTCCCGTGTCTTCTCACTGAATGTTCTACGGTGGGGGTCTGGCAGGGTGGCTAGTGTTTTGGAAGAGTGACTCTGCTGTCAGTGCGCGAGTGGACTGGATGGGGAGTCTGGCAGCTCGGCCGAAAAGTGGGGAGGCCTAAGTCCTGCAATCCCAGCAGGGATCTCAGGGGATCCAAACAGCTAAGAGAAAAATATGAATGACTACTTTCTATTCCTAAGATTCTCTGATATTTCATCCCAATCACAAAAAAAATTAGCATTCCATTTTTTAAAATTCAGTTGCTTCATACCCTCGTCAGCATATTTTTTTAATCTTTTATTTTTTGAGACATATTTGCTATAGGGCATGTGTACTCACTGAAGAGACAGAGAGACAGAAAAAACAGAAAGCAGGAAATCACCGGGGGGGGGGGGGGGGGACCGGAAGGAGGCCGCCATTTTTTGCCACACCACAATCCCTTCTCCGTTCTCTTTGGGATTTGGAGTGTGCACGCACACATGCCCGACATGAGTTTCAAGCTGCTGGGTTTGGGACTTGAACTACAGTAGACCACATGAGAGTCCAGCGCCTTAACTACCACACCACCTGCTAGTCCCACCATCAGCATATTTATGAAAGTTGTACATCGGGCAGCCGTCGTGGCGCTAAACAGTGTTGAGGCCACATGGGAAGCTCCTAAGTGTTCATCTTGAGGCCTCCCTGTGCACGCCAGGTATGCATGTGGTGCCTGCGATCCTGGCTGGCTGGGGCAGGGTGGGGTGGACTGTGGCATGGGAGCCCTGTTGAGGTGCTTCTCTCTCTCTCTCTCTCTCATTAAAAAAACAAACAAACAAACAAACAAACGAAGCCAGATCTGAAGTGCCCACCAGACCTTATCTGTTAGGGATCCTCCCACAACATCTCTCCGCTCCAGTCAGGGCCACTGCCCTGCTCGGTGAGTTTTAAGTTGCCAGGTCCGGGACTTGAACCGTGTGTGTGTTCAGCAATGTAACCATTACATTATCTGCTGGTCCCACCGGGCAGCACTTTTCAGTGTTCTCTCACTAAATCTCAACCACCCTGAAAAGGAGGGACCAGCAGTTAACATAATGGCTATGTCACTGGACTCCCACGTAGTCGACCGTGATTTGAGTCCCAGACCCGACGGCTTAAACTCACACTGGGCGCGTGTGCATGCGTGCCCAAGATCCCGGGAGGAGAATGGAGGAGAAGGGATTGTGGCGTGACCATCCCCCCTGGGGGGTGATTTCTCGCTTTCTATCTCTCTGTCTCTCTCTGTCTGTCTGGCAAGTGCACGCGCCCTATAGCAAAAGCCTCTCTAAAAACACCCACATGCACACACACACACACACACACACAAACACCCCTGAGAAGGAGATCCAATGGTTTCTATTTACAGAGAGGGAAAGCGAAACCTAAAATGCTACATAAACATAAGATGACCAAGTCAACCCAGCAATTCCACTCCTAGGCACAGACCTCAAAGAACTGAAAACAGGGATTCAAACAGATACTCGCACACCTGTGTTCACTGAAGCATTACTCACAACAGCCAACGTGGTAGGAACAACCCAAGGGTCTGTGAGCTAATGAGTGAAAGAACAGAGTGTGGCATATGCACACAAAGGAATAGTGGTCAGCTCCAAAAGAAGAACGAAGTTCTGACCCACGGCACAACACGGATAAACCCTGAAAGCAGGGCACTAAGTGAAATAAGCAAGACACAAAAAGACAAATATCATATGATTCCACTTACTAGAAATGGTCAATTCATGAGTGGCATGAGCGGCTAAGATGCTGTGCTCTGCAGGCTGGAACCTTGTGGCAAGCATGGGTTCAATTCCTGGTCCAGCTAAAAATGCTGTCCCCCCGGCCCCCCCAGCCACTTACGAGCCTGAGGCAGGAGGACCAGCTCAAAGCTGGCCCAGGCAGCACAGTGAAAAAAAAAAAAAAAAAAAAAAAAGAGAGACCTACAGGTGGCATGGTGATTAAGGCACTAGATTCCTACATGGCTGACCACAGCTTGAGTCACAGACCCGGTGGTATGCTTTCTCACTTTCTCTCTTTGTCTGTCTATGGTGAGTACACATGCCCTACAGCAAGTTAAAAATAATAATAATAATAATAATAAATAAAATTAAATTTTAAATAATAATTTTAAAATTTTTAGGGAGATTTTTGCACTCTAGGACTCGAACCACGGTCTACGAGGTGGGAGTCCAGCAGTGTAAGCATTATGCCATCTGCTGGTCCCAACAATTACTAGTTTTTAGAATGGGGGGGCCGGCTCTGTGGTGCAGTGGTAATACACTGCTCAAGAGAAGCCAATCCACCTGACAGTGGTAGTTTGCCCCGCCCCCATCAGCCTGAAACTCATCAGGCATGAAGGCAAATGCCTCCATCAGTGGGCTGGAGGACTGGAGAAAGGGGATAGTGGCATGACCAGGCTTCTCGGGTGTTTCTCTCCCTCTCTCACATGCATGCACGCATGCTCTATTACTAATAAAGAAAAACTAATTCAAAAACAAAAAATGAGGGCCAGTCAGCTGGCCTGCCGGTTAAGACAGCTGGATTTCATAAGGCTGATAGTGCAGTTCAAGTCCTGGACTTGGTGGCTTGAAAATCATGCCAGGAGCATGTGTGTGTGTGTTCCCCAAACCCTGAGAGAGAAATGGAGGAGGAATGGCGGTGTGGCCATCCCCGTGAGGGGGTGCTTTCTCACTTTCTGCCTCCCTCCAGCAACCACACATGCCTCCTAGCAAAAACGAAAGAAGAAAGAGCCGGGCGTGACGGCACACGCCTAGAGTCTGGGCTGGAAGGCTGAAGGAAGAGGCTCAAGGCACAGTGAGACCCTGTCAGGAAGAGAGAAAGAGAGAAAGGAAAGAGGGAAGTGGGGGGAGAGGAAGAGAAGAGGGGAGAAAAAAAGTCAAGTTCATAGAGGCAAAAAGTAGATCAGAGATTACTGGGGGCTGGAAGAAGGAGAAAACGGGGAGTTACTGCATAACAGTCAAAATCCTGCCTTGGACAATGAACATTGGGTATGCTATAAAGATACACAGTGATTGGGACCAGCAGGTGGTGTAATGGCTATGTCGCTGGACTCCCATGTAGCCAACCATGGTTCGAGTCCCGGACCCAGGGGCTTAAACTCACGTTGGGCACATGTGCGTGCGTGCCCAAGATCCAGAGAGGAGAACGGAGGAGAAGGGATTGCAGCGTGGCTATACGCCCGGGGGGGTGATTTCTCACTTTCTGTCTCTCTGTCTCTCTCTTTCTGGCGAGCACACATGCCTTACAGCAAAAACCTCTCTCCCCCCCAAAAAGAACACTTTTTAAACTCTATTTATTTGTTCATTTATTTTAATTTAACCAGAGACAAAAACAGAGAGAGAGAGAAAGTGGGAAATCTAGCCACCAGGCCCGGGACTCGAACCATGGTTGGCCATGTGGGAGTGTCCAGCGCCTTAATTACCATGCCACCTGCCGGTCCTACAACTGTGGTTCGCCCCATTTCCGCCAGCCAGATCAGGGGCACACACGTGCCCCGTGAACTCAGGGAGGTCTCTGGACTTCAACAAGGAACCTTTCCATGTGGGACCCCCCCCTCAACAACGTGTTGTGTTTTTACTGTTGAACCACTATCTAACCCTAGTGAAAACAATTATTTTAAAAAAGGTTTAGAGCCTGGCAGAGGGCATGGTGCTTAAGGCACTGGATTCCCTATGGCCAACCACAATTCGAGTCCTAGGCCCAGAGGCTTAAAAAACACTCCAGGCATGTGTGCATGCATGCCTAAAATCCTCAGAGGAGAATGGAGGAGAAAGAATTCACCCCCCAGGAGGTGATTTCTCACTTTCCCTTTCTCTCTTTGTCTCTCTGGCAATCCTGCATGCCCTAAAAAAAAAAAAAGAAAGAAAAGGGAAAAAAAAAAAAAAAGTGAAATAACTCACTCAAGATCATATTGCTAGCGAGTGGTCCAGGTAAAATTCGAACCCCCGCCTATCTGACTCTTAGTCCCATGGTCTGTCTTTGAGCTCTGCTGCTTCTGAAAAAAGCCGTGAACTAGGAATTAGGACACCTGGGTCCTGTCCCCACTATCTCGCGTGACTTCATACAAGCCTAGCCTTTCAAGGCCTCATTTCCTCACTGTCATATGGGTTGTCAGGAAAACCATGATGCATATTTGCAGAGAAAAACACGTCATGACTTTCTCGATGACCTAATAAGATGGATAAGAACATATCCTTGACAGTCCCTCCTAACTAGCCCTCTGAGCTTTGTCATCTGTCCAGTGATTTTGATTTTGCAACATGGAAAGTCCCAGCTTCGATTCCTCACCCAGACACAATCGCTTCTGGGGCCACCCGTGGATCCCAGGGAAGGGGACCGGCTGGCCTTGCCTTGGACTGAAGCCAGTCCTTGAGGAGGCCTCCACTCTCATTTTCTCTGTCTGATCTGGGAGTGGGACCAAGCCTGGCTCTGCTCCAGGATAAACTTGTATGAGGCAAGAGAGATAGCACAGGGTCAAGGTGGTGACCAGGACAGCCCTTAAAAATGCCTCCTTGCTCCTTAGACTTGCCATAGCTCTCCGGCTCCCCGTCTTCCCTCCTCCGGTGGGCGCCCGGCCACCATGTGGCAGCTTGTGGCTCTCTTGCTGCTCAGCCTCGCCTATTTCCTTTGGCCCAAAGTAAAGGGGCTTGGTGCCAAGTACCCCCAGAGCCTCCCATCCCTGCCGCTGGAGGGCAGCCTGCCGTTCCTCCCCAGACATGGCCATCTGCACGAAAACCTCTTCAAGCTGCAGAAGAAATACGGCCCCATCTATTCTGCTCAGATGGGTTCCAACACCATGGTGATTGTCGGCGACCACCAGCTGGCCAGGGAGGTGCTCATTAAGAAGGGCAAGGAATTCTCCGGGCGGCCCCGAATAGTAAGTAGTGCCCCCTCCCCCTTCCCTCACCACCCCTTGGGGTTGTTCATTTCTTCCGCCATGCCCACGCCCAGAATGATCCTTCTAGCTTCAACAACCTGTAAGTCTTCCCCGCAACAGGCCTGTGGGCTGATGCGAGGAAAGGTCTCCTTAGACCTCACCCGAGGAGTTCAAGGAAGACTTCCTTTACCAGACTGCCCAGGAAGTGGGGTGGGGTGAGGGCAGCAGCCTGAGGGGTCAGAGGCTGGAAGAAAGAGGCTTTGGACCCTTTTGTTTCGGGGGAAAGTCCAGACTGAGTGGGCCAAACATTAGCACTATGCAGATGGGGGCTCCAGTGGGTACAGTCTTGCAACGGAAGAGCAAACGGAAACGAGCCCTCTCTCCACTCAGCTCACTCTGGAACGTGGTGGTCATGTCTCTGGGCCTGGGTTTCTCTGATTAACTGAGAGGGTGTACAGACCTGGCTCAGGGCCCAGTGCAGGAAGCACTCATAAATAGTCAGTATTGGGACCAGCAGTTGGCGTAATGGCTATGTCGCTGGACTCCCATGTAGTTGACCGCAGTTCGAGTCCCAGACCTAGTGGCTTAAACTCACGCTGGGCATGTGTGCATGCGTGCCCAAGATCCCGAGAGGAGAATGGAGGAGAAGGGATTGCAGAGTGGCCATCCTCCCCTGGGGGGTGATTTCTTGCTTTCTGTCTCTCTGTCTCTCTCTGTCTTGCTGGCACCCTGGCTGATGCGAGGAAAGGTCTCCTTAGACCTCACCCGAGGAGTTCAAGGAAGACTTCCTTTACCAGACTGCCCAGGAAGTGGGGTGGGGTGAGGGCAGCAGCCTGAGGGGTCAGAGGCTGGAAGAAAGAGGCTTTGGACCCTTTTGTTTCGGGGGAAAGTCCAGACTGAGTGGGCCAAACATTAGCACTATGCAGATGGGGGCTCCAGTGGGTACAGTCTTGCAACGGAAGAGCAAACGGAAACGAGCCCTCTCTCCACTCAGCTCACTCTGGAACGTGGTGGTCATGTCTCTGGGCCTGGGTTTCTCTGATTAACTGAGAGGGTGTACAGACCTGGCTCAGGGCCCAGTGCAGGAAGCACTCATAAATAGTCAGTATTGGGACCAGCAGTTGGCGTAATGGCTATGTCGCTGGACTCCCATGTAGTTGACCGCAGTTCGAGTCCCAGACCTAGTGGCTTAAACTCACGCTGGGCATGTGTGCATGCGTGCCCAAGATCCCGAGAGGAGAATGGAGGAGAAGGGATTGCAGAGTGGCCATCCTCCCCTGGGGGGTGATTTCTTGCTTTCTGTCTCTCTGTCTCTCTCTGTCTTGCTGGCACCCTATAGCAAAACCTCTCCAAATAAATAAACAAACAAATAGTCAGTATAGTCAGTATTAACGTGACTCCTCGTGGAAAATGGGGGTGGTAATTACTATCTTCCATGGAGAGGGAAGAAGCAGCCTGGCTCTCGGAGGTCTGTGGTCACTGCTTCCCTGAATCTGTCCCCAGCTGCTCCAGCTCACAGGGGCTGACCTACAGTGGCATTTCAGGGAGGCCGATGGTCCTGGAGTTCGCCACGATCCTCCGGGGGCTAACCCTCCAGAGATGCTCCCAATGCCCCGTCCCAGCACTCTGCTGCCGAGGACCCCCCGAGCACCCCCGCAGGACTCCCATCCTCTCAGCTCTGATCAAGCCACATGTTGACTCGTTTTTCCTTGGACTCATCAACCAGGCCGGCCGCCCAAGCAGCTGGCTGAGGGTAGGGCTCCTCCGGACAGAGAGGATGGAAGAAGCTAGCCAGCTAGAGCTTGGGGTCCGAAGACAGAAGAGAGAGGCTTCGGGATACTATGGTTTTTGGGGTGCCTTGGGGAAAAGGCAGCTTGGGCCAAGTCCAGACTGGGTGGGTAAAACAGTGACACTGTTCAGATGTGGGTTTGTGGTTGGGTTGGGAACAGGCTGGCAATGGAAGAGCAGACAAAGACAAGGACAGCCGGGTCTTTAGTGCCCCCAGGAGGGCCCAGAGGAAGTCAGAGGTCTGGGTAGTCCTTGATTCTTCTTCTTCTTTTCTTAAAAATTTGCTATAGGATGCATGTGTTTGCCACAGATAAAGAGAGAGAGAGAGAGAGTTACAGTGAGACAGCACGCCACCCTCACCCCCCGAAGGATAGCCACACCATAATCCCTTCCCCTGCATTTTACTTTTCAGGATTTGAGGTGCATGCACACACGTGCCTGGTGTTTTTCAAGCCACCAGGTCTAGGACTTGAACCATGTGGTCAGCCATGTGGGATCTACTGCCTTAACCACCAGGCCACAGGCTAACTCCAAGTCCTTAATTCTGGCAAGGCTTCCTACTCCCTGACCCTAGGATAGGCACAACTGAGCGTGTTTATCATAGCCATGCCTGCCTATCCCTGGTCAGAATCTGATGAGGAAAGAGAGCCCAGAGGTCATGCCATCAGTGAACTGGACACCAGGGTTTGTGTGTTCTGGATCCAGGTCCACTGGGCAGTGGGGGCCTTAGGGCCTGTCCTACCAAGACCCTAGGTCATGGTGGAGCGTAATGGGGATGCCCCCACACAGAGGTCAGCACAGCCCCTGCCTTCTCCCCCAGGAAGGGAATGAGTGAGGGATGGCAGGTCCAGGACCTGCTGGATGGTGTGTGGTTCTTACAGCCTTGTCTGCTCTCCAAAGACGACTCTAGGCATCCTGTCCAACGACCAGAAGGGCGTTGCCTTCGCTGACTCTGGTGCCCACTGGCAGATACATCGGAAGCTGGTGCTGGGCACCTTTGGCCTGTTCAAGGATGGCGACCTGAAACTAGAGAAGATCAGTGAGTGCCGGGAGAGCCCCTGGGGCCGCTAGAGGGAGGAGGCAGAGGGATGGTTGGGCCAATGATCCTTTTCTTGGCTGCTGCTGCCATCTAGCGGCCATCTGTGTCCCGTTCCCCACCCTCGCGAAGAGGGAACTGGTAAAAAAAAAAGCTAGGGTTCTTGTTCATTCCCCACCCTCAAACCCCTCTCCCCCCTCAGTTTGTCAGGAAGTCAGTTCCTTGTGTGATTTGCTGGCCACCCACGATGGACAGTCCATAGATTTGTCCTGGCCTGTCTTTATGGCCGTAACCAACGTAATCTGCTGGATCTGCTTCAACTCCTCCTACAAGAATGGGGATCCCGACTTAAAGACCATACAGCGTTTTAATGACGGCATCCTGAACTCACTGAATGACAACAATCTGGTAGACATCTTCCCCTGGTTGAAGGTAAGACCCTGCGTGTCCCCAGTCCTCTACCGGCTACTGCTCAGCTTCAGACCTACTACCCTGACCGCCTCAGCCAGTGGCCTCTGTCTCCTCTGCCTCGTAAGGCCTCAGCTATTTCTTTACTAAGTGGGTATCGCTTTTTTAATTATACATCTATTTTTTTAAAAGATTTATTTTTATTTGTTATTATTATTATTTATCTTTTAATTTGTCCCTCCACCTCAATGTTGACTCTCGATGTTGAGAGAGAGAGAAAGAAAGAGAAAGCTGCCAGGTCTGGGACTCGAACCAGTTGGCCATGTGGGAGTCCAGCGCCTCAACCACCACACCACCTGCCAGCCCCTCCTTTTCTCTTTTACAAGAGAGAGGAGAGATAGAGAGACAGACAGAGATAGGCAATTTTTTAAGGAATGATTTAATTTTATTATTATTATTGAAAAATCATTTTTTGAGAGGTTTTCGCTATAGGGCGCGTGCCCTTGCCAGACAGACAGAGAGAGAGAGACAGAGAGACAGAAAGCGAGAAATAACCCCCCAGGGGGGATGGCCACACACCGCAATCCCCTCTCCTCCGTTCTCCTCTCGGGATCTTGGGCACGCACGCACACGTATCAAGCCACCAGGTCCGGGACACGAACTGCGGTCAACTACGTGGGAGTCCAGCAACATAGCCATTATGCTAACTGCTGGTCCCGCTTGAAAATTTTCTATAGGGTATATGTACTCACCAGGGAGAGAGAGAGAAAGTGAGAAAGCCGCCAGGTTCAGGACTTGAACCACTGTTGGCCATGTGGGAGTCCAGTATCTTAAACACTAGTCCACCAACTGGCACCCAAGATAGTCATTTTTTACAGGGTCCCACTTTGTTGCAATCCTTTTGCCCCAGCCTTGCAAATAACTAGCATTATAGAGACGTGCCACTGTGTCTGGTGTGCTCGGGCCCAGAAACAGAACCAGGTCACCCCATGCGGTTGGCACTATGTGTGCACTGCCACCTGATTATGTGCTTTTTCTTTTTTAAAAAAGGAATTATTTATTTTATTTATTATTATTACTATCATCATTATTATTTTAATTTGACCAGAGAGACAGAGAAAAAGAAAGTGAGAAACCAAGCCATCAGGTCTGGGACCCAATCCATGGTTGGCCATGTGGGAGTCCAGCCCCTTAACTACTGTGCCACCTGCTGGCCCCTGCACTTTTTCTTCTAACTGACAGATAATAATTGTAATATTTGCAGAGCTACAATGTGATTTTTCCATATGAAATTGCAACCTGTAATGATTGTAATTTTACTTTTGGTTGGGAACTGTTTTGGGGTACTCCCAAATTTGGGGGTGCCTGCCATGATGTTTACCAATTCTAAGGAACACGCTGGGAGGCCCAGCAGAGAAAGACAGGAGTTTGCTTACTAGGGAAGCTCCACTGAGGCTCGGTAGAGAATGCTCAGTGCCATCACACATACGGGCTCAGGCTGTATACACCAAGAACAAAGCACAAGTCAAGGGAAGACTGACATCATTGGAGGTTCAATACCAGATCAGCTTGTCAATCCAAGGGTCAGCGGAGTGGGTTTTGGTTAGTGTCTGGGGTTTAGTGCCTCCAGCCTTGTGAGGGGTGTGAGGGGCCCCTGCGTGCCCCCAGTCCTCTACCGGCTACTGCTCAGCTTCAGACCTACTACCCTGACCGCCTCAGCCAGTGGCCTCTGTCTCCTCTGCCTCGTAAGGCCTCAGCTATTTCTTTACTAAGTGGGTATCGCTTTTTTAATTATACATCTATTTTTTTAAAAGATTTATTTTTATTTGTTATTATTATTATTTATCTTTTAATTTGTCCCTCCACCTCAATGTTGACTCTCGATGTTGAGAGAGAGAGAAAGAAAGAGAAAGCTGCCAGGTCTGGGACTCGAACCAGTTGGCCATGTGGGAGTCCAGCGCCTCAACCACCACACCACCTGCCAGCCCCTCCTTTTCTCTTTTACAAGAGAGAGGAGAGATAGAGAGACAGACAGAGATAGGCAATTTTTTAAGGAATGATTTAATTTTATTATTATTATTGAAAAATCATTTTTTGAGAGGTTTTCGCTATAGGGCGCGTGCCCTTGCCAGACAGACAGAGAGAGAGAGACAGAGAGACAGAAAGCGAGAAATAACCCCCCAGGGGGGATGGCCACACACCGCAATCCCCTCTCCTCCGTTCTCCTCTCGGGATCTTGGGCACGCACGCACACGTATCAAGCCACCAGGTCCGGGACACGAACTGCGGTCAACTACGTGGGAGTCCAGCAACATAGCCATTATGCTAACTGCTGGTCCCGCTTGAAAATTTTCTATAGGGTATATGTACTCACCAGGGAGAGAGAGAGAAAGTGAGAAAGCCGCCAGGTTCAGGACTTGAACCACTGTTGGCCATGTGGGAGTCCAGTATCTTAAACACTAGTCCACCAACTGGCACCCAAGATAGTCATTTTTTACAGGGTCCCACTTTGTTGCAATCCTTTTGCCCCAGCCTTGCAAATAACTAGCATTATAGAGACGTGCCACTGTGTCTGGTGTGCTCGGGCCCAGAAACAGAACCAGGTCACCCCATGCGGTTGGCACTATGTGTGCACTGCCACCTGATTATGTGCTTTTTCTTTTTTAAAAAAGGAATTATTTATTTTATTTATTATTATTACTATCATCATTATTATTTTAATTTGACCAGAGAGACAGAGAAAAAGAAAGTGAGAAACCAAGCCATCAGGTCTGGGACCCAATCCATGGTTGGCCATGTGGGAGTCCAGCCCCTTAACTACTGTGCCACCTGCTGGCCCCTGCACTTTTTCTTCTAACTGACAGATAATAATTGTAATATTTGCAGAGCTACAATGTGATTTTTCCATATGAAATTGCAACCTGTAATGATTGTAATTTTACTTTTGGTTGGGAACTGTTTTGGGGTACTCCCAAATTTGGGGGTGCCTGCCATGATGTTTACCAATTCTAAGGAACACGCTGGGAGGCCCAGCAGAGAAAGACAGGAGTTTGCTTACTAGGGAAGCTCCACTGAGGCTCGGTAGAGAATGCTCAGTGCCATCACACATACGGGCTCAGGCTGTATACACCAAGAACAAAGCACAAGTCAAGGGAAGACTGACATCATTGGAGGTTCAATACCAGATCAGCTTGTCAATCCAAGGGTCAGCGGAGTGGGTTTTGGTTAGTGTCTGGGGTTTAGTGCCTCCAGCCTTGTGAGGGGTGTGAGGCGTACCTCCAGGCCAGCCCCGCCCTGGGTCGGCTCCCGAGGTAAGAGGATGGTCACGAGGGGTTCGTGCGGGCACCGTCCAGCTGGGCCAGCAGCCAGGTCTCAGAGGAACAGGACAAAGTGTGTGTGGGGGAGCTCAGTGTATGGGGTTTACCCTCCCTCCGCCCCGACTCTCGCACGCCCTCACAATCTTCACGTGGGGGTGTGAGTCACACATTGCATCCACATCCTACAAATACAACGGAGAGCTTGAGTTCTAAACGGCAGTAAGAAAGTGAGAGTGGTTAGCAAGGCACATTTCCCAGGGCATTGAGGGGAACTCAGGGCACACCCAGCAGGCGGACTGGTGGCCCATGTGAGGGTGCCGGCCCGTCACAGGGATGAGTTCCCGGCCCCCAGCTTAAGGATGGTAGGACACATTTTAGTGGCACATAAAGGTAAGTCATATTATCGGGTAACAACACGCAACATTCTATCCTGGGGAGGCCTCTGGAGAGGTAGGGTACCACTCTGGGGAGTCCTCCCAGCTTAGTTGACCATGCCCGGTCAGGCCCAGGGGCACTTCGATCCATGACATGGAAGGAGAGAGAAACTGTCCTAAACTGCCACATGGGAATCATTCATATGCCGTTGATAACGGTAACGGTGCAGGTTGTGGCATTTGATAGTATTAGTCCATTTACCCATCATTTGCGGGTGACTATCTGGGTTGTGGGCTAATCCCTCCCTCCAAGGGAGGTGGGAGGAAGCACCACCGCCGTTCAGACTGAACATCCTGGGCCATTGGTGGGTATTACCCCCAGGTCGCATGTCCTGAGTGGCTGGCAGCACGGCTTCCCCCCCCGCCACAGCTAGGAGGCCAGGGGACGTGTGGGCTAGTGTGGCTCCCAGGGTATGAACCTGCAGCCACGTGGGAGTGCCCCATGGCTGGAAAAGCAAATCCAGTGTGCTGGCAGCCAGCCCGGCCAGCCCGCGGCCTCTCACTCAGGACCGGGCGGCCTCTCGCGGGTGGGTGTCCCCTGGAGGGACTTTAGAGCTTCCTTCAGCTTTCCATTGTCATGCTCCGAGGCCAGCTCCTGCGGGGTCGGAAGGGGGGTGAAAGTGCCCGTCTAGATGCATTTGCCCAGCCCGCTGCTGTACCTGATGTTGGCGAAATGTGTTCCTCATCACCTTCCATGACTTCCGGTGCCCCATAAGCTGCAAATAGCTGCACTCGCCCCCGTGTGGCGGCGCTGAGTGGCCTGGGAGCGGGAATGCTTGCAGAATGCCTGTGGTGGTGCCCTCACAGGTCAAAGCAAAATAGGCCCTTCCGAGCAGGGAAGGGTCTGGCACAGTCTATCTGCCATTGGGTCAGGGGCTCCCAGCCCCTTTTGATCTGTCCCTATTCTGTCTATAAGCAGTGGGACCGGCGCTCTGAAAACACTGAGCATTCACTGCGAGCTATTGCAATGTCCGAGGGTCTTAGAGGAATTCCCCAGGCTTTTGTCACTTCCCAGAAACCTCTTGCCCAGCATATTCATTTTCCCAAGAAGCCACCCCGTGACACCTCCGGTGAGGGCTTCTTCTAGCATCGGATGTGCGCCCGCGCATGGGCTTCATCGCTGCCGGGACCCAGAGGGGGGAGTGGCCAGACACGTGATAAACAGTGATGGTCTGAGTCTAACCTCCTAAATGTCTTGCCTCGTGTCCTGCCCCCATAAAGGCTTGTTTGCAATGTTCCATTGTTGTTGGTGCCAGGGTAGCATCCACGGGGA